GGGGGGCCGGGCCCGGCCCGCCCCCGTAAGCAGAGCCGAGGCGGCAGCGCGCAGGGCAGGCAGACTTTATTCATGGGAACGGCGGCGGCGGCTCAGCAGCAAGGCAGGGGAGGGGCAGGAGGGGAGAGGGGGCCGGTGACCCCCCGCCGTCAGTTCTTCAGCTCCCCCAGCCGGAGCCTGGCAAAGTCCGTGGCCAGTTTCAGGGCCTCCTGCAGGCAGCCCACGTTCTTGCCCGTGGCCTGCGCGGAGACATCCTTCCCCCCGCCTTTGCCGTCCATCAAACCAGACACCTCCTGCACCCACTGGCTGGCCTTCAGGCCCTTAGTTGCTGTCTCCTGGGTAGGAAAAGAAACAAAAAAAAGAGGCAGTTCGACCTCAACCCAGCCGGCAGCGAGAGAGGGGGGTCCAGGAGCATGGTGGACAAAGCCCTTCCAGGGGCATCTCCTGGAGAAGACCCAGGCCAGCAGTCCAGGGGCACACTGCCTGCCCCCATGCCAACAACCACATCAAGTCCTTGCTCTTCCCCCTTCCCCGTCTGCAGAGCACAACGCCTCTTCCCCCCTGCTGCAGCCTGATGATAACCCAAAGCACAAGGGTCACGGCTCTCGCCAAGCCAAACGAGTTTTGGCTGTGCAGTGTTAGATAGTTACTGCCTGTAGGCTGCAGATCCACAGAAAGGCAGACACAAGAGTCTTGGCATTACCTGAGGTACTTGACACAGGCAGGTGATTCTGCCAGCTTCGTTATCTACAGTGAAGAGCATGGTGGCAGTCTGGGGGGAGTAAGTCTTGAAGAGCTTCAGAGATTCATTCAGGGCCTGTAGGACGACAAAGGCATGGCAGCACATCTTCCCCCTGCTCACAACCAGCCCTGCTCCAGCCCCTGCAGCACCCACAGGGACCTCAGCGATCTGGACTTGCATTAAACCAGACAGCAGCACCCTGCAGCGCTCCTCCTCCCAAACACGAGCCATCCTCATCCCCGGCTGTGCAGAAGTCTTGCAGGGGCCACAAGCCCTGGCTGTGTCCCCTCACAGCTGCAAGGAGGCAGGAGTGGAGTTGCTTTTATTTCCCCACCTTCAGTTATCTGGCAACTGGCAAAATTAGTGGCCATGCAGCCCCACAGCAAGTGAACCTTTGCCTGAGTGTACTGGCTGGAGGGGAAAATGCTCTGCCCTGCGCTGTGAGCTCCCAGCAGGAGGGAGCAGCTGTGCTGCAGCGAGTCAGGAGAACTCAGCTGCAGCGTGAAGACGCTGCAAGGGTTATCAGACACAGCAGGCATGCTGGAGAAACTGGGCAGACTGCCACACATCCCGTTATTCCCAAGGAGACTGTCATCCTTTGCTCGCATAGGCTACGATGCAGCACAGAGCTCTGGGAGCGGGCCCTCTGGCCAGCAAAGCGGTGCTGCTCTAACTGGATAGGGAATATGCAGCTCCCCAGGCTGCCAGCACTGCCATCCCCCCAGGATGCACCCTTCTGCCAACGAGAATGTTGTGTTGGCACCCACTGTGAACAGGAGCGCTGGCATCGTGGAGATGGGGATGGCCACAGAGAGTGAGCAGGCGTCTGTAAACAGGATCAGCTCTGAGACTCCTGGAGCGGAAATTTAAAACTTGAGTGGTCCAACCTCAGGGCACCACCAGCCCCCGCTGCCTGGCACTCGCTGGGCTCAGCACCACGGCACAGCGCACACAAGGGAGCTTTTATTC